GCAGGCGAGTGTTGGACCCTCACTGTGGCTGCCGCCTGCAGGCCAGCTACAGCCCTCTGGGCACTGAGGTTTACCGAGAGCCACCAGAGGTATGTGTGCCACAGGTGTAGACACCCCTTTGAGAGCCACTCCTGTGCCTGCGGGTCCCCAAACTGTGCCACCAGTCTGAGGTGTTGGGGGTTGCCACTCCATGTACTATGGGGTGCTGTGGCTCTAGGGAGACCCTCACCCACGCACCTTCAGTGGAACCCACTATCAGTGTCGAGGGCCTGGCCAGGAGGCACTGACCACAGCTTGCTGCCACACCACACCCCTGCACCATCTGGGTGTAGGTCAGGCATCAGGAGCCCTGGGGTCCCACGTGGGCTCAGCAGGTGGGTGTGGAACTGGCAGGATGGTGAGATCACTTTTGGAGGGACAGTTGGGGGCAGTCCAGGTAGGCATCAGCCAACTTGTAACAAACATGGGTGACAGCAGGCTGACAAAAGCATAGCCCGAGGGTGTCCCCTTTGGAGATGGAAATACTAGGGTTCTGATGCCCTTAGAACTGGGCAGACAGTCCCTACCCCAGTCCTGCACTTCAGAGATCCCACTCTGGCCTCCTCTGACTGCACCCTCTCCCCAAGGGTGGTGGAGTCCCAGGCCCTTTGGTACGTGCCCCCTGGAGCCTGCTACCCAACCCCCTCCCTGACCCCCTTCTAGGCCTTGCTCCCGAGACTGCACCGTGCAGCAGCAATGAGCACAGCCAAAGGCCCCCTGCAGGAAGCGTGAGGCCAGATTGGACTGAGAGAGGGGCAGGCTGGATCATATGAACATGCAGGACCCCCTGCAGCTGGGTGAAACCGGGGCTGGAAAACAGGAGGTGGGCCAGGGGCAGGCTGTGCTCGGGCATCATTTCCTATCCAGGGATCCTAAGGTGTCACCTGGCCTTTGGCCATTAGGAAGGTCCTGGTGTCAAGGCAAGAAGCTAGAACATGTTCCATTTGGCAGTTTGGCAGCCTGAACACAAAGGAGGTGTGAGCCTCCATTTACATGGCTGTTCTGGGTCCACAGGCTTCCCTGGTGGCTCAGAAGGTAAAGGATCTATCTGCCTGCAATGCAGGAGACCCTGGTTCAGTCCCTGGGTTGGGAAGGTCCTCTGGAGAAGGGAATGGCAACCCACTCCAGTGTTCCTGCCTGGAGAATCTCATGGACAGAGGAGCCTGGTGGGCTACAGTCCATGGGGTCCCAAAGTGTTGGACACGACTGAATGACCACCACTCTGGGTCCACCTTTCGGGCCCACCAGGAACCCGTCGATGCTCTAGCAGGCAATGGGCCAAGTGGTGAAGCGTGTGCTGCTGGACCTGGAGGCCTGAGTTCGAATCCCACTGTGCCATTCGCTAGCTATTGGGCTTGGCCTGGTGACTTTACAGTCTGTGGTTTGGTCTCCTCATCTGTACGAGGAGTGATAATGGTGCTGTGCGCACTTTGGTGGCCAGATGTGGGGTTTTCCACACCAGACAATTCTCTTTGGACACCAACTGGGTGTCTTTGATTCAATTCAGTTCTGACACTCTCTACCTGGGTCGGCAAACTCCACAGGCTAAAGGCTCAACCCCTGAAGACTATCCCCACTTTAGATGCCAAATTAGTGGAGTCCCCATGTCACCCACACTTCTGTCTGATTTGGCTACAATTCAGGGGTTCCTACACCCTTTATCCTCAGTTTCAATAATTTGCTATATTGGTTCATAGAACTCAGGGAAACACTTACATTTACTGGTTTATTATAAGAAAGTGAAAGTGAAGTCGCTCAGTCATGTCCGACTCTTTGCGACCCTCCAAACTGTAGCCTACCAGGCTTCTCTGTCCATGGGATTTTCCAGGCAAGGGTACTGGAGTGGGTTGCTATTTCCTTCTCCAGGGGATCTTCCCCACCCAGGAATCGAGCCCAAGTTTCCCGTATTGCAGGCAGTCGCTTTACCCTCAGAGCCACCAAGGAAGCCCCAACGATAATAGCTGAACAGCCAGATGGAGAGGCGGAGTGGTACACAGGGTGAGGTCTGCGGAAGGACCCCAAATGTGGGTGCTTCTGCCCTTGAGGAGTTGGGCTGTGTCTTCCTTCCAGCGTGTGAATGTGTTCAGCAACCCACAAGTGCCCCCCTCCCGAAGCCCGTAGTTGAGGAATTTTTATGGCTGCTTCACCAGGTAGGCGTGATCAATCATTAACTCCATCCCTAGCCCCTCTCCTCTCCCCAAAGGAAGGAGGTGGAGATGGGACTGAAAGTTCCAAGCTTCTAACTATAACAACAAAAGCTCCTGATCTTGGCTTGACTTTTCAAGCGACCGGAACTCATCCAGGAGCCCACCAAGCATTGCCTCGTTAGAACAAAAGACACCCCTAGTGCCCCGGGAATTCCAGAGGATCTAGGAGCTCTGTGTACCAGGAACAAGGGTCAAGGACAAAATAGCAGGACGAAAGACGCTCCTGGCACCCCAGTCACTCAGGAGATACAAGTGTTTTAGGAGCCGTGTGCCAGAAACTGGGGGCAGAGACAACATACAGCAAGTCCCCTACATATGAACCTTCAAGTTGCGAACTTTGAAAGATGTGAGCGTGTGTTCGTATGCCCAGTCACGTAAGTTTGTTCTATCTGAGCAGACACTGTTAGCTTTTGAGGCATAGGACCCGAATGTAGAATGGGACTCAAAGTTTGCAGCTGCCATTCAGTGCAATCAAGTGCTACCATGTCATCTATGACTCGAACAGAAGAGCTACTACCCACACATCACCAGGTCATTTTTTCCAAGAGGGTAGATAGAATTGAAGCCAGCAAGGAACCAGAACCTGGGCCATCAACATCAGGAGTGAGTGAAGTTGCAGCTTCCCCCGCTCTCCTTTTCTGACGATCCTTCAGCTCTACCATCTCCCACTTCGTCTCCTTCTCGCCTGTTCACTCGATGCCAGTCCGTGTGCCAACTGTTGTACTGTACTACTGTACTGTTCAAGGTACTGTACTGTAAGGTTACATATCTTTTCTTGATTGTCTTTTATGTATTATTTGTGCAAGAAGTATTATAAACCTATTGCAGTATGGCACTATATAGCCCACTATGTTATTGGGTACCGAGGCTAACTTTGTTGGACCTACGAACAAATTGGTCTTAAGAACACACTCTTGGAACGGAACTCATTTGTGTGTAAGGGACTTACTGTATGTATTTCTGAATATGTCACGAGTGCCTACCTGTATGTGATCATTAAAAGGTGTAAATTGCCTAGGACAGGGTATTTAGTAAGGGGATAAAATGTTTGATAAATGAATAAAACTGCAAGGGCAAACCAGCTTCCTAGTGGTGCCCTGCCCCCCACCACAGGCAGAGTAAAATGCAACCCTTAAAACTCCCAAGTCAGGTCACAGAGGTCCTATCGCAAAGCCCTCCCATGGCACTGTCTTACCTGGAATATAACTGTGATCCATGTGGCCCCCACAAAACTGGCCTCTGAGACCGCTCTGACTTTGCCTTCTCACACTTGCCCCCTTACTCACTCTGCTCCAGCCACACCAACCTCTCTATTGCCCTTCCAACACCTAGGCAGCCTCCTGCCTCAGGGCCTTTGCACTGGCTGTTCCCTCTGCCTGAAACACCCTTCCTTGAGAGCCTCACATAGCTGATGCTTTCTTATTCTTCATGTTTCAGCTCAAATGTCACCTCCTCTGAGAAGCCCTTCCTTGCTACCCCCATTAAAGGAGCCACCTCTCCCAAGTCTCTCTCTATTATAATCCCCCATTTTCTTTCCTTCAAAGTAATTTGTCAGCATCTTAAATCATCCTTTCTATTAATCTCTTCTTTGTCTCCTGTCTGTGTTCCTCTTGACTGGATAAGGCATCTCCAAGCGCAGGGACTTCGTTTATTTTGTTGAATAAATAGACAAAAATCCGAGCACAAAAGTAAACTTCTAGTATGTCAGAAGGTGATACAGTTTGTCCTGGAGACAAATTAAGCAGGAATGGAGACAAGAACATGCAGTGGGATATTACACTTTAAGACAGAAGGCAGGGAGGCACTGGGGCAGAGACCTGCAGGAGATGAGGGAGGGAGTCAGGTAGACACTGCAGGGAAGGGAACCAGGCAGAGGGAACAGCCAGTGTAAAGGTCCAGAGGTTGGAATGCTGCCAACCTCTGGGGCAGGGGGGGAAGGGGGTGAGTGAGCAATGATGAAAGAGGGGTGACAGAGGCTGGTTTCATAGGGCTGCACAGGCCACGGGGAGGAGTTTAGACTTTATCTGAGTTACTAGGGAGCCATGGAAGGGTTTGGAATAAGGGAAGGACAGGATCTGATTTTTTTTTTTTTTTTTGCCTGAAGCAACAATTTATTTGGTGAATGAACAAACAAGAAATATTCTCAATTTACTGCAATTATAATTTCCATTTCCAGTTTGCTTTTATCCTTATTAAGATTAAATTCCCTTAATTTGATTATATATGAAAAGATTTTCTGAACATGTGGCAGGGTAGGGAGGTGAAATTGCCTTTTGTACATTTTAGTATTGTTATTGAAGAGTCTAAATTAGACTCGGGACAAAGTACAAACTGAAAACTTTGGGCATAACAATTAATGCTTTTGAAAGCAAGTTCCTGGAAAATAAGTTTTGAGTAATTTTTTGAATAACATTTTTCAGGATCTGACTTGTGATTTTTAAAGGATTCAGTTGGATGCTAGGTGGAGAGCAGATCATGGGGACAGAAGCAGGGGACCCTGGGGGGCTGGTGTCTGGGCAGGACTGCCTGACACAACCTGGGTGCCTGGGTTCCAAGCCGGCCTACCCCTGATGCTGGCGGGGGCCACACTCTGAGCCTTCTCTCCATTCTCAGCCATCATAATCCAGGTAGCCCCTGGCTTCTCTGTGGCCTCCCATGAATCCCATGCCCTCTGAGATCTCCGCCGGCACCTTCTGTGGCCTTCCAGAAATCCACGCCCTTTGAGATCTCCGCCAGCACCTTCTGTGGCCTCCCATGAATCCCATGCCCTCTGAGATCTCCGAGATCGCCGGCACCTTCTGTGGCCTGCCCGGGGACTTTCACACGGGTACTCCATGCAGCTCCCGCGGCCCCAGCAGCACGTGGTTCTCTGATACCCACAGCTCCGCCATGGGCCTACACCCCTCTGTATCCACAAGACACAGACCTGACAAGGCAGCCCTGTTCCAGGCCTTCTGCAGATTGCTGGGCGCCCGCAACAGGCCCTGTAGTGAGGACACGGAGCCTTGGGTCCACGTGGAGAACTGTGTCCACGAGCCCTGTGCCGCACGGTGGTCAGGGCAGACTTGTGTGCTGTGCTGAGGAGCTATACCCAGGAATGCCAGAGACCAGGCCTCCTGGTGCAGCCCTGGGTACACCTGGTGGCCTGCGGTGATGGGGGGTTGCCAGGGGAGGGTCCTTCTCAGCCTGCTCTCACCAGCTGGCCCAATACCACCTCCAGGAAGTCCTCCTAGGTCAATGCCACTCAAATAAAGTCACTGTGCACCCTGCTGGTAACTGTCCCCTTGAGGAAGACTGCTTCATCAAAAATGATGGCAGGCATTGAGTGACATCAAATCAGCCAGGATAGTCTAGGTTATGCTGCAGTAACCAAGCCACCTGACATCTGCATTCCTGAACATGACCAAGGGTTAGTCTCTGACCTACAAATTCCACAGAATAGTCCAGGGCACCATTCAAGTCCATTTCCATCCTGTGATACCACCCTGGTCACAGGTGCACCCCCTCACTCTTCAGCCCTCACCTTGGAAGTCACAGTACTTTGGCTAGATCGTGTCGTGATTCCCTCCCCCCGCCCCACTCCCCTACAAGAGTGGGGCTGGGATGGGGCAGCACGTGGGCGTTCAGTGACCATCAGTGACTCTACAATATGCATTAGCTCATTCAGTCCCCATAACAACCTGCCAAGGGGAGGGCTAGAATTACCTCTGTTTTATGGATGAGGAAACCGAGGCACAAGGAGGAGTTCCCGTAACTTGGGCAAGGTCACTCAGAGTCAGCAAGATGCGTGTTGCTTTGATTCCTGCTCTCCTTAGGATGAAGTGCCAGCCCTTGACCAAGCACCAGAGCCCTCACGTGGACTGACACTCCTGACCCCTGACAGCTGCCTGTCACCTCTCTTTACACTTCTGATGTGTGTCTACATCCACCAGGCAGTTTCTTGCTGCTTCTTCGGGGCTCAGAAACCCAAAGGCCCAAGGACCCAGGCAGCAAATGGCTGAAGCAGATATAATAATGAGGGGAGACCAGGAAAATGTGGGAGGGTGTCCTTCCTACGGGGTTGGTGCTGCACTCACCAGATGATTGTTGCTAAGTGGGAGTCCAGGCTCAGGGGAACCCAGTCACCCTCAAATTCCAGCTCTGACGCTCAGTAGTCATATGACCTTGGGCAAGTCACTTAACCTCTCTTGGTTTCAGTTTCCTTATCTGTAAAAGGGGGTGATGAAAGTCCTGTCTCCTGGGATTGTTGTGAGGTGTGGGCAGCATGCCATATGAAAAGTAAGTTCCTGCTATCTGCTCAATTATAGGTAGTTCTTTTGACCAGTGAGATGATAATGACCTTGCATAATTTCTGGCTAACTCAGTTTTCTTCAGTGAATTCAGGAAAAGAATATTAATATTAGTTTTCCCTGAGGAAACACAGAGCAGAGCCTGGTGTACAGTAAGTGTTCAGGAAATGCTATTTCAGACCATCTTCAGGAGGTAATGACCCTATCATCATATACATGATTATCTCCAACACCACCTCCATTATGATCATTACCACCACTGTCTTCCTCTCCATCACCATGATCTACACCATCACCGTCACCATCATTGGTACCCTCATCACTATCACCACCACTACCATCATCACCATCACTGGTACCATCATCATCACTATCACTGCCACTACCATCATCATCATCATGGGTATCATCACCATCATTATCACCACCGCCACCATCATCACCAACATCATCACCATCATTCGTACCATTGTCATCACTATGGTACCCTCATCACCATCACCACCACTACCATCATCACCATCAGAGGTACCATCATCATCACTATCACCACCACTATCATCAGCATCATCAACGTCACCATCACTGGTACCATCACCATCATCCTCCCCATCACACTACCATCATCACCATCAGCAGCAGCATCATCATCACCATTACATTACCTCCGGATGATGCCTCCACCTTCTTCCCTGCCCTATGACCTGCCCTTGTCCCCCTCAACTCTCTTTCTGCCCCCTTGGTTGTCTTCTGGTTGGATGTATTCCAGAATAGTAATGCTGGGCTAGTTATTAACTCCCATCCGTCTCCCTCCAGAGCTGGCTTGTCCTCCCAACAGCCACTTGAGCTCTGTGGCTCCTCATGTCCCAGTTCCTGTGCCGAGCCCACCCTGCCTGACAGCTGTGACACCGGCTTTGTGCTCAGCAGCACTGATGGCATGCCCCTGCCCCCCTCATGCAGTGCAATGCAGCTGCTCCATGGCGGGGCGGGGGCAGGTACCACCCGGCTGGGGAGCACTGTGAGCAATTTTGCCACTGTAAGCTTTCCACTTGCACTGCTCCCCCTCCTCCTGAGGGTCTGGGCATCTTGGGGTGCCACCTGCTCTCCCCATGCACGTGCCAGGCCTTCGAGCACTCGAACATCACCACCTTCAATGGGAGGACTGCCTAGTTCCCAGGAATTTGTGTTTCTGTCTTTGCCAAGTCCTAAATGGGAAAACCTCCCATTTGAGACCTGAGACTTTTGTCTGAAACCCACAGGGGTGGATGTGTTTTCCAAGCCTGAGGGCCCCTGCCTACAAGAGTTCCATTGTTGCCTGTTGGAAAACACACAGCTGTGCCCCTCCCACTACCCGCCCCCCCCCCCAACCCAATTTCCAGGAAAGGAACCCGCTTTCAGAATTAGTCATGCTGTCAGCATCCCACACAACAACCCCATTGAATCCAAAGGGCAGCCTACAGGGTGAATTCTATTTTTAACCCCATTGTATAGATGGGGAAACTGAGGCCCAGGGAGGAAGAATTGCTTGCCCGAGGTCACAACAGGGAGAAAGAGGTGGGGCTATGATTTGAACCTAGGCTTTGAACCTTTGCTCTGAGTTTCTTCCCTCTCTATTTGTGGGTTTGTGTGCCTCCTAAATGTGACCTGCTTAAGGAAAGGGAAGTACCTGATTCATCTGTTATGGGGCCTGGGATGTAGTAACTCTCAAGAATGATTTTCAGGTGGTCCAGTGGTTAGGACTCAGTGATTTCACTGCCGAGGGCCTGGGTTCGATCCCTGGTTGGGCAACTAAGATCCCACAAGCCATGTGGCCAAAACAACAACAACAAAAGAAAGGGGGGAAATCAGCCTCAATTAATCATCAGGACTTTCCTGGTGGTCCAGTGGTTAAGGATTCACCTTGCAATGCAGGACACATGGGTTCAACCCCTGGTTGGGGAACTAAGATCCCACAGGCCTCGGGGCAACTAAACCCATGTGGGGTAACTACTTAGCCCGCAACTACAGAGTTCTTATGCCACAATGAAGATTCTGCTTGCTGTAACTAAGACCCATACAGCCAAATAGATAAATGAATAGAGTATCAAGCTTTAAAAAATAGTTTTCATTCATTCACTCAGCACATATTTATTGAGCACCTATTATGTACCAGGCTTTGTGTTTAGTGCTAGGGACTTGCAGAGAATGGAACAGCCTAAGAAGATCCCTTCTTCCCAGAGCTAACATTACAGAAGTGGGAGGGAGAATAAATATAACCAATAAGTGTGTAACTATTCAGTATGGCAGGAGGTGACATATGCTAGTGCTACATAAAAAAAAGAAAAGAAAATAGAGAATAGGGTGGGGTGTGGTGGAAAAAGTAAGTGGTTTTAAATCAAGTAGGAAAACTTCATGAAGATGGTGACATTTGAGCAAAGCTCTCAAGGAAGAAGGTGAGGGGAGTGACCCAAGTGACATCCGTGAGAAGGGTGAGTTTGGTAGTGAGAACAGCAAGTGCAAAGGTCCTGGGGCTAGAAAGGCACTTAGTGGGTTGGAGGAGCAGCAGAGTTATTAGGGGGAGGCATACAGACTGAAACTGCTGAAACTGCCCACCCTGGCCAGACACCATAGTAACTACTCACTACTCGGCGTGAGTTATTTTAAAGCAGGAGGTCCTGGTAAGGAACTTGGAACTAATAAGTCAGGACCAACCGGAAGAGTTTAGGAAAGGTCAAAAGAAGACCCCGTGTGTCCTTCTACCTCCCAGAATCCTTCTCGTTGGCATCCATCTTGGCTGAGCAGTGCGTGCGCCACCAGGAAGAACCCTGAGTCAGAATGATTGGCCAGAGACAACCGGGAGACTAATCCTATCACCGTAAAACCTGGGACTGCGAGTCAGGTGGCAGAGCAGTTCTCCTGGGTTCCCTTACCCTCCTGCTCTCCCCGCCGGGCGTCCCTCCCCAATTAAGTCTCTTGCTTTATGAGCACGTGTGTCTCCTCAGACAGTTCATTTCCAAGCATTAGACACTCTCTCTCGGGCCCTGGAAGCAGCCCCCCTTCCTGCAGTAGGGCAGCCAGTGGGACTGGAGCTGAGGAGCGAGTGAGTGCATAAGTAAGGGGTTGAGGGGGAGGAGAGGGGATGGGGGGCCAGGTAGGGGAGTGACTTACAAGCTGTGGGTCCTGGCGAGGATCTGGCTTTTGCCAGGAGAGAGATGCAGCCAGAGGAGCCAGGGGAGCCCTGGTCTGACTCAGGGGTCCTCAGGTGCCCTTCTCTGAGTGTGGGGAGCCGGCTGTCGGGGTTGGGAAGGAGCAGGGGGACCAGGGAGGAGGCTGTGCGATGGTCCAGGAGGGAGAGGATGGAGGCGGGGCCAGGGTGGGGGCAGGGAGGGGAGTGGGGTTTGGTTCTGGCAGTCTTTTCTGGTGTCTAATTCCCTCTTCTAACCTGCTGTCAGTTCTTGGGACCCCCAAAGTTATGTGGGGCTCGTGGCCCTTTTGTCACCACTCCCCTGCCCCACACACACAGGGTGTGGAGCCAGACAACCTGCCTTGGAATCCCAACTTTGACCCTTAAATGACTCGAGAGCTGGCTGAACCCCTCTGCACCAGTTTTCTCCACTGGTAGAACAAGGCCTGCCCAGCAAGTGGTGAGTCCTGCAGCCACACACACTGCAGGGTTGTTAGTTGACAATAGAGAGGAGGTTAGCAATAGTAGGTGATGACTCAGGAATGTACAGGAGCGTGCCCTTGGCTCTCCGCACTGCTTTCTTGGATGCCAAGGTGCAGGGGGAAGGGGGATGGGAAGGCTGAGATGTC